AAAATGCAATGCAACCAATAAATACCCCTTTTACAAGCGTTTGGAGTAAGGCCCACTTTTATTGAACTGGACTTTGTTCCGCTCTTTTCTTCTGAATAAATATTGTGTAGATTCAAAAGCAGTCCCCAAAGTATTATTGATAGTTCTATCTTTGTAGTGCTTTTGTTAACACTATTTGTACATGCAAAAACTACCATGCCAAACAAACCGTATATTGTATTCAAGAACTATAATCTTCAAATAGAGCCTCTCAAAAGTGAAGCCATCTATAATGATTATGTCGGACTGTGTTCTTTCGTACTTGTGTAAATCATGAATTAAATAAAAGCCCTTTTCAATAGGCTAGGTTTGCTACCAGGAATCTTTGTACAATCTTTTGAAAACTAAAAGAAATTTGACAATAATGCCTCGCAGATTTTTTTTCCTTTTTGTCTACTGCTAGAGTTCAATTATCATCAATCCAATAATTTACGCTTATCATTTTGGTTTTCTAACTTCTAAGTCTTATTGCACCCAGCTCCATGCTCGACTGTATTGTACGAAATATCCCAGATAGGTTTTTGAGCAGAGCAGGAAATTTAGTTAGGATGTCAGTCATGCCACATTTCCGACAAGAAAGGAAAATATTCTTGTGGGAGATTTCCTAAGCCTTGAATCACAAACAATCGAACACTCTTTTGATCAAAATCATTATTGAGGGGGACAGTTAGCAAATTACAAAGTGTTTGATATTTGTATCTATTACATTTTCGGCATATCTTATCATGATTATTTAGTAGGGTGGGCCGGTGGGGGTTAAAGTGACTCATTAACTGCGCGTTTGCAATCTACATTTGCGAGTTTCGGGTCTCGGGGCACGGGAAATGAGTTCCCCCCCCCCCCCAAAAAAAAAAAAAAACAGCAAACAGCAAAACCCCATGTATGGCATACTTTGTTATAGGTACACAAAATATAAAAAAGTTGCGTCTAATTGTGTTCTTGTACCACCCTTTCAAATGTTTTAATCGTTGCATATACTTGTCAGATATTTTTCGGAACTGTGCCCCCCCCCCCCCTTTCCCTTTAAAAAAAAATCACGACTCCACCCATGATACACAACAATGCATCTCGCCCAAATTTGTTGGTTGTAACACAGCATTTCCTTCTTCTTCTTTTGTCTTCTTCTTTTTCTTCTTCTTTCCCTTTTTTTCTTCTTCTTCTTCTTCTTTTTTTAGTTCTGGGAGGTAATTTCCGATGAGCATGGTATCGACCCTACAGGGGCATACGTCGGGGACAGTGAGTTACAACTGGACAAGATAAACGTGTATTATGGATTGGCATCCGGTGAGTATATTGAAATGATGAACAAATAAAAAGGGGGACAAAGGGAAAAATGAGGGGGGGGGGCATTAAACCCGCCCCTCTATGCTTTAACAAAAAGGAAAAATATAAAACATCACAAGCCCCTTCTGTTCAAATATAATGGTCTTAAAATTGCAATTGTAATAATTATCATATCGACGATAATAAAGTAACATTGCGATGTTTGGATGAGAGCCGTTGATAAGTAGAGTTTGGCCAACCCCCGGTTCGAGTTATACGGCGAATACTGCTTTGTTGGGCAAGCATAAAATAATAGACCACATGCTGGCCAAACTTTGTGTATAATATATGGCTCTGATTTGGACGACGTGTATAGTGTAAATGGGTCTTCTAACAAGACGTTCATCAAGTTTTGATTCTGACGATGTTGTGTAGAAAATTTGTTACAAGACAGCATAATATTCATAATTCATTTGTATGCAGTAAATTCGGCTATACATGCAACGAGAACTGAACGGTCGTCCTTTTTAAGAAATCATAAGGTATCAAAGATAGTCATGATCTTGCCTGACATAATAATAACGGGTACATTTTTAAAATTGAGATAAAGACCGCAATATAATTATTTATAATAAACATAAATGAAATGGCTTGGCGAATGGTGCTGAAGTATTTGGTGAGAGGTATGTAATACTAGTAAGGGGTTGAACAGCTTGAGTCTTGCCTGCAAAATGAATAATATAATATAGCCACGTATCATGTTAGATTAAATTGCTCAGGTAGACGCATCAATGACTAATTTAATTTCAAATTGCTTTGATGAATGATACATGACCGCATACAAACAAACTAAAGGTTGTCACCGGTAACAATGAAGCGGGAATAGGATGGTAATAATATACTTTGCTCCGATCAAAGATTGATTGACTAGTTGATGATTAATGCCAAACGCATGCACATAATTATCTTTGTATTTTTCTTTAGAGGTCATAGAACCTCCAAGATAGAATATTATCTTGTTTTAATTTGTATAGAATATTATCATATTTTAATTTAAACAAATGAACTGAAAGGACAGCGATCGAATCATTATTTTCGTCTTCTCCAACCTAACAACAGAATAATATACTCTTAACTGTTGGAAACTTATATAATTATCAACTTACTGTAAACATAATAAGATCAAGATCACAACTACAATGTACATGTCATATGAGTACAGCTGTATATAGTTTACAGTATGCTGTTGCTATACGACTGTGTTCACAAAACGTGTTCAATAAACTTTGTCCGGGCACCTTAGTTACAGCATGCACTATAAGAGTTAATGCGAATGAAAACTTTTGGTGATTCAACTATATAGACACGGCCCGACGGCCGTATGAATAAAACATGCATACAAAGCGTTGTCACCGGCGACAATATTCTTTTGTTCTTTTTTAGCATTATCCTCTGAATATGGACAGTGTGATTTTGTACTTCGAATCTAAATAATATTGCAGCCTCATGCAAATGCCCTGTAAAGCAAAGGCTTTATATTGAATTATTTTGAATTCATGATTAGAATCTATCTTGTGACCTCTGATTCTGAACTTTGGAATCATTATGAAAATAACGATTGGATATCGATATGGACTATGGAGTGATTGTTATGAAAAGTAGTTCCGCGCCTGTCAGTCATACCGAAATGATTTCGAAATTCTTAGTCTGTTTCCAGGGGCGTGTCTTAAATACATTGGATTCATGGTGGGGGAGGGGGGGGGGGTAAACAATAATTTTCATTTCGGTGAAGAAAATGATGGGCCTTGGTTCGGGATGACGCTATAGCAAAAAGATAATTTATATATTTCGACTTGTACGATGGAACACCCTTATATTCAAAAGTGTTGTTTTTCATAGGGGTTTATAATAAGCCTAATAGTCGAGTTGTTTTGCCCCAAGCAGGATATCTTGTTTCAGAAGAAAATAAAGAACCCGTTGGTTGTTGAATCCTTCGCAACCTATTTAGGAGGAGTGATATCTTCTTTCACGATCTCTTTGAACTTCTATTTTCTTTTAAAGGCCCACTGCACTACTTGTAGCTACTTGCGCCCTCTATAACAAACAATGCCTAATCGGTGACCATTGGTCCCCCATGATCCTCTTTTTCTTATGTTATTTGAGAGCTGAGTTGATGAGATAACCACCTGTCCAGTGTAGGCTGGTCTAATCTCTCCTTTACACTAGTACTGATAAGCTTTAAAAGGGAATGTCATATACTCATAGTACATCTTTGGGTACTTCAATTCACGAACGTCTCCTTGAATGAGCCACCCTCTCCGGCCTTGCCCAAAAAATTGAATGTCCTGAACGGCGCAATTTTTTTCGGCAAATTTGAACTTGACAGGCCCTTTCAGATGTTCTATACGATTCCCCAATATGCATTATGACAGTGTCCTCCACACAAAGAAATTTCTGTGGATTAGAGAAATGACACTTACCATAATTAATTTTGTGTGGAGCGTCCATATTGTGGCAACAAATAGCTTTAAAAAATATTTTTAGCCAAGTTAAGTGGCTTTATTTGCCATTTGTCCCAGCTTCTGTAGAGGCCAACAATAGTTTTCCAAAAGTAAATATTTGCATTCGTTGTTAATGTCAGAGGGGTCAAGTTTGGGGTTTTATTTTATTTTTGTATGAATTTACAAGATGCCGCTTGAGTTCTAAATCATACATGATGAAGTTCTTTGTACCTCTTTTCATCTTTGGTTATACAGAAGAAGAACAAAAAAAAAAAATCACAATTTGGTTTGGGATATCAGAATTCAGGGGCCGGACCAGAACCAAGGCTGGTCCGATACAGAACACTGAAGTCGGGAGAATGTTGTGTCTGAAAGTTCTGCACAAATTAACTCCATTCGTCAGTCGATCTCCTTTAAGTTGTGTCGAGCCACTCCGAACCATCCCGAATCAAACCCTAAGCCTGCCTCATTTGCTCTGTACCAAACTAGCTCACAGAGTCCAAACTCGGCACCCAATTCGGCTCTGTTGGCACTTGCCGAGTTGGGTGACGAAGAGGGATCCGAGCTATCTCGTTGCAGCTCATAAAGCGCTTGGAGAGAAGGAGGCAGCGCCAAGTGGCTCTGTGTTTCTTCCTTATATTAATATGATGACTCACATATGTTTTTTTACATGAACATAATTTCCATAAAAAAGGTTGCTTCGCTTCCTGTTGAGTTGTGTCGACATGTTTCCCTACATTTTGATATTATATTTCTTTGCCCCGCCATCTAGAAGAGAAATATGTTCCTCGTGCCATCCTGGTGGATCTGGAGCCTGGTACCATGGATTCGGTCCGATCTGGACAATTTGGGCGGCTCTTCCGTCCAGACAACTTCGTCTTCGGACAGAGTGGGGCAGGGAACAACTGGGCCAAGGGACACTACACCGAGGGAGCAGAGCTGGTGGATGTTGTCATGGATGTCTTAAGAAAAGAAGCCGAAGATTGCGACTGTCTCCAGGTAAAGAGATTAATCCATGATAACAACTTCAAAATATGTCCATTATAGGTGTCCCTAGAATTTGGCAATTATCATCCACAATTTCATTAAAATCAGATTAAAGTGATTCAAACAAAAATTAGTGATAAAAAATATGGCTTTAAGTTGGCTGTCCGTGCATGGATTTCACGATTGTCCGAGATAATGTTTTTAACAAGACGCTTCTCTGTTGGTTTCGTTATAACAGGGCTTCCAGCTTACACACTCCCTTGGTGGTGGTACCGGTTCCGGTATGGGAACCCTTCTCATCAGCAAGATCCGTGAAGAGTACCCAGACCGCATCATGAACACATTCAGCGTTGTGCCATCACCCAAAGTATCAGACACTGTTGTTGAGCCTTACAATGCCACACTCTCAGTCCATCAGCTGGTTGAGAACACAGACGAGACCTACTGCATTGACAATGAAGCCCTCTACGATATCTGCTTCCGTACCCTCAAGCTGACCACACCCACCTACGGAGATCTGAACCATCTGGTCTCTGCCACCATGAGTGGTGTCACCACCTGCCTGCGATTCCCTGGCCAACTCAACGCTGATCTCCGCAAACTTGCCGTCAACATGGTTCCCTTTCCACGTCTTCACTTCTTCATGCCTGGCTTTGCACCTCTGACCAGTCGAGGAAGCAAACAATATCTTGCCTTGACCGTTCCAGAGCTCACTCAGCAGATGTTCGATGCCAAGAACATGATGGCTGCCTGTGATCCTCGTCATGGTCGCTACCTCACCGTTGCCGCCATCTTCCGTGGGCGTATGTCCATGAAGGAGGTTGACGAGCAGATGCTCAACGTACAGAACAAGAACAGCAGCTACTTCGTCGAATGGATCCCCAACAACGTCAAGACCGCCGTCTGTGACATCCCACCACGTGGTCTAAAGATGTCTTCCACCTTCATCGGCAACAGCACCGCCATCCAGGAGCTCTTCAAGCGCATCTCTGAGCAGTTCACTGCTATGTTCAGGAGGAAGGCTTTCCTTCATTGGTACACTGGTGAGGGTATGGACGAGATGGAGTTCACAGAGGCTGAAAGCAACATGAATGATTTGGTCTCTGAGTACCAACAGTACCAGGATGTTTCTGTTGATGACGACGGCGACTTTGACGAAGAGGATGAAGAAGAAGACTTGGCATAGAGCCACCCATTCAAACCGATACTTAAATGTAATAATTCTTTGAAGAACATTCTTGCTGTATTGGTAAACAATGGTTGTTTATCAATACCGAGCTCAAACATTTTATTGTGCAGTATTGCAATATCACCATTTTTGTTGATCGATTTGAAGATCAAAAGTAATGTTTACAAGAAAAAATATGAATGCATGACGTTAACGGGAGCATCTAGTGTCGATTTTTTTTTCTAGACATCTATATAGTAATTATTAGATCAGTATAGTCATACTCACATTAATGCATGCCCTTCTATAGCTCAGGCTTAAACCAATGAAGACTGAGAATTCGCATGTAAACAATTATCTTGTCTAGAATTAGTATTCATAAAATGGTATTAACATATCTCTATGATAACAACTTTATTATAAATCACAAAAAATACACTTTATACACAGTCCAACAAGCATGATAACGACTCAGGAACTTACCAAGCACTGTATGCCAATTATGAAGAAGGAAAGAGATTGACATGGATTTGGGAAAGTGGGAGCAGTGGCATTTTGGTGGGGGCTCTTGACTCTCGTACATTGATTGCAAGAGGACTGGTCACGGGTTCGGTCTTGCTCGACGCTTACATCATTGGACAAGACATTATTTGACCATGCACGCATGCACTTTATTTTGCCCCTCTCTATATCGCAGGTGCAATCAAAATAATGGATATACCTGCATACTTGGATGATAATTGCATGGACCGCATGAAGGGCCGTATTGACTGATGGGGCTACCTCGCTGGGTAAATAAGACCAAATTCTCAATTGTTAATCATTGTTCCCTTTTGGGTCTGAATTACGGATACCATTATAATGAGCTTTGGCCAACAAAAAATGGAGAGCGTGTCACAATCGTTATTAAAATCACGTAATCATCATCAATGAGTATCTTTAGTCAGCTGAAAATTAATCGCCTCAGTTCAAGTCTGAGTGAATATCATTATCATCAGTCGAGAAATAGATTCTTTTCCTTACAATACAAAATGTGCTAAATAGAGAAAAATCCCCTTTCTAAACGCCTTTCTGCTCTCTAAAAAAAAATCGAGTGATCACTGACGTGACTCCTCTGGAGAGTGAAAATAAAGTGAAAATAGAGTTAGCATTAACTCTTTTCTTCTTAGAGAGAACTCTAAAATCAATCGATATTCCATCCTAAACAAGTGATCACTGACGTGACTCCCAGGGGAGTGAAAATAGAGTGAACATTCGCACTTTTTTTTTCTTAGAGAGTGCTTGAATATCTAGCAAGATAAGAGGTCTCATGCAATATCATTCAGGGATACCTTTCTTTACAAAAATATGGAATCGTAGATAAAAAGTAAAATAAAAAGAATTATACCTCACTCACTTGTTTTTGTTTGCATGTTTTGATGATGTACATGCATGCAGAAGAAAACAAAATGAATTGATACAAGACATAGTGATAGAGATATATAGAGAGAGACTGTGAGATGAAAGTGAGATGCAGGAAAATAAGCGGAGAGAGAAAGAAAGAGATAGGGAAAAAGATAGAGAGAGAGAGAGAGAGAGAGAGAGAGAGAGAGATTTTACTAGCTAGTAAAATCAATCATGAGGCAAAATGACCACGAGATTACTTCGTTGCCCGGATATCCTGCAATGCTGGATACCGATATATCAGTCTCTGATTTTTAGAATTCTTTGTTTCACAGGTGTGCAACCCCCCCCCCCCCCCCCCACAAAAAAAAATCTTTGGGTAAATCTTAAATTTGTCGGAAAATCGCACAAAATATAAAAACTGACTTTCTTGTTTCTTCTCCTGACAACAAACTCTATATCATTATCGGCATATTCAAATATCATGGGATCGGGAGGGGGAGCTTCAAACAAAAATCAGCTAACTAGTCGGCAAATTTGGTACCGATATCCCTACCCATTCAGAATGGCTTCGTATAAGCCTATATGAAAACGTTCGTCTGTTAATGGCAATTTTTTATTAAATGGCGGGGGGGGGGGCAAGAGCCCCCAGGCCCCCACCCACAAAAAAAGTTATGATAATAATAATTATACTGATAAATTGAAAGAGTGCCAGTATTGCGGGAACGACCACGTAAGAATGGTCTTATATTATTTTGCCTCTAATGGAAAAAAAAAGACATGGAGATGCGATTAATGCATAAGACTTTTACGTTGAAGGTATAAGGTTGTCCCCCCCCCCCCCCCCCCACTACCACCTCCTCCCTCTCATTCACTTGCCTTCCCTCCATCCACTCCATCACTCTCTCTCTCTCTCTCTCTCAGTCTCTCTCACGCTCTCTTCCTCGATCCAGCTAAACTGAGGCTCCCTGTCAACATTAAACGACGTAGGAGGAGATGAGGTACGTATGCCAATTCTATTGATTAAAATCCAAACAAATAGGATCATTCTCAACTTTGTTTATAACATTGGACAACAAATTTCAAAATTATAGTGTTAAATAATAGTGCATAAGATTAAATATTTAATTTATAACAGCCAGGAATAGCAAAATTTAACGTACTATACTGCATGTCTGTTCTGGCATATAATACAAGGACATTTCATAAAACTTGTTATCAATAATAAGTTGTAATAACTGTTATATAAGCTACTGAAATCATGACATTTGAATGGTTTAAAGCAACTTTGTCATAGAAATTTAACATTTGTTATTGATACACTGTAACAACTTTTATGAAACAGGGCTCAGGGGTGAAATTACTCTTAATACCTTTACAATTTTTTTCTTCTTCGTTCTTTTCAAATAAAAAGGAACAAAATACAACATAATAATAAAATAATGTATATGCACCTGTATAATTATTATGTTTTATGTTTACCAAGGGGGGGGGGGGGACGTCGTAAGCCTTTAAATTTATAACCGACTATTGTTTGTGTTCGTCTCTTCCTCGTTCCAGCTAAAGGATCCCTGACAATTAAAAGGGGTCAAAGCGGGGATGACGTTGTATTATGATCGATTTTTGTTAGTGGCCGTCGTCAGGCCTGTAGCCTTTTCAAACCCCCTGTTGCGTAACGCTATCTATACAGCTATACCTGCCTCGTTTATCCGCTCACTTCAAGTCCCCATAGCAACCATACCCATGTAACTCCTCAACCACAGCAGTTCAGGGGACGGGGGTACGCCTCAGTTATGCAATAACTAAATGCACCCCTCCCCCTCATGACTTCCCCAATCGTGTCTTTTTATGGTATTGCAAGATCATTGGTTTGTTTTGTTTAAGAATAATATAATAATTTATTGTTCATCTCCCTGGTTTATCATATTTTGTTTGTTATCATATAGCGCTTAGACACTTCGGTGGAAAGCGCTTTATAAATCACCGTTTTTTATCATTATTACTGTTTTATATTCTCTCTCTCTCTCTCTTCTCTCTCTCTATTACTCTCTCTCTCTCTCTCTCTCTCTCTCTCTCTCTTTCTCTCTATCTCTCTTGGCTCTCGAATGATTTCGTTAATCAAATCATGCACGGATATAATATAGGCCAGGCTGGCACTGCTGTACACTTCAAACAGATTTTGAAACTAATGGCCATCGCATGCATAGTAGTCCCTATATTATCTATCCAATTATTTACCCCCCCCCCCCCCCCCCAAAAAAAAAAAAACTTTCCCCATTTCTTTTTCCATATTACTATTACTCACTTCTCTATAATCAGAGAAACGCCCACATTTGTTAATAGATGATGAAAGTGGTAAAGACATGTCTTTGGAACTTGTCATTACTTTATTTTGGTTGTGTGCGACCATATAAACTTGAACTCATAAAAACGAACTTCTTCTCGGAGATTAAAAAAAAAAGAAGAAGATTTCTGTACTTTATAGGCCTAAAAACTAGCATTGATTCACAACACTGAGTTTGATGAGTTCGTGTACTTCGGCAATGTAGCTACAGGGATTAAATTTCAAATGATTCATCCCTTTTGCTATTTCTTGGCTTCTCAGTGTTGCATTGGTTAACGGGGAAATGCCGATTAGCGATTATGTTCCACCAGTTGCATTACAAAAGGAGACAAAAGGCTTCCCCAAAATTTGTTTTTATCCGCCGATCGGAGCGGGAGCGAGGCGGTCGGTATCCCTTGGTTTCCTGTATGGAAACCTAGGGTCCATGGTTTCCACGATCCCCCATCTTTTGTTTGGCTGACCTACCCATGGACCGTTGAGCGGAGATGTATTTTGTGCGAGTTGCCATAGCGCGGTAAATCTTGACCAATTAGATCGCTTGAATACGTCTTACAAATATTGCTCAGGTATGAAGTATCATGATTGGTCAATCGCTTGTCTCCTCACTTTGGGGATCGCCTTAAAAAATCTGTACACAGAATTACATTCAGATTTACATCTTTGCATATTTTTTTTTTGTAAAATGAGCTTTCAACTCATAAAATTGAAATATATTATTTGAATATGATATCTTTAATCGAAAACCAAAGTTACATTCAAAAGAAACACTCGAAAACTATATTTTAGACCGAAATTAAATCACAAATGAAATGAAATGAAAATGGGAGAAACAACGTGGTCCCTGAATTCAAATGTTTATGCGGGTTGCTAGGCGGAGGAATATCGATTGAATGAAATCGCATTTATTCCCAAGTAGTTCCAATCTCACGTCAGATTCCCGCTAAACGTCAAACTGAACGTGTCAATTTTACATTTTTTCCTAGACAACTCGTAACTTTTATATCAATCATGCGTGAGATCGTCCATATGCAAGCTGGCCAGTGCGGCAACCAGATCGGTGCTAAGGTGAATATTATTCTTCAAAATAATGTTTTATTTTAAAGTGTGCGAGTGTGACATTTATGATGATGAGTGACTGAGTGTGTGGAAATGGTGAACGTGTGCGTGCCATGTCATGATGATGATGATGTTCATGCTTGTCGTTGAGACTGGTGTCCGCTCATTCACTGCAACTAATTTTGTCAAATAGTCTAACTGTTAGATCTATAGTTCTAAGAGGAAATGGGTGCTGAGGCATGGGGATTGGTGAATTGAATGGTGAATTTATTAAGGATTGGAAAATTCGTTAATTTCATGAAAATACGCAACCTTCAAGTTCATGAGTTTTGGTGCTGACATTTTGGCTTCATCATGAGACTGAATGTGATTGTGCCACTCCATGGCATGAATCATGATTTAATTTTTTTTCAGGGAATGAATGGAACAAATAGTTTGTCAAAAATTTGTCTATAAAAATCCTCTTGAGACTCTACTCTCTAGACTATTCTGTATTCAGGCCCAGGGTGATCGAGCTTGCAATTTGGGGTCGCTCGTTGGCATAAGTTGTGTGAACTTGTGTCAGAATTAAAAGTTAAAGTTTCATCATTCATCATGCCTGGATATGGTTGAAAATAAAAGATTTAGGTCTAGATCTACTCCAAACGTTACGGTTAGTTAAAGTTCAAAACAAGTGTCAACATTAAATTTATGTTTTTTCTTTTTACTTTTCTTGACACAGTTCTGGGAAGTCATCTCAGATGAGCATGGCATCGACCCCACCGGTACCTACCACGGAGACTCTGATCTTCAGCTCGAGAGGATCAACGTCTACTACAATGAGGCCACCGGAGGCAAATATGTCCCACGTGCCGTCCTCGTCGATCTGGAGCCAGGTACCATGGACTCTGTCCGCTCTGGACCATTCGGACAGATCTTCAGACCAGACAACTTTGTCTTTGGACAGAGTGGAGCTGGAAACAACTGGGCCAAGGGACATTACACAGAAGGTGCTGAGCTGGTAGACTCTGTTCTCGATGTTGTCCGCAAGGAGGCTGAGAGCTGTGATTGTCTTCAGGTAGGCATGCTTCACCTTTTTAAGAGTTTAGTTCTTGATTTTATTTCAACAGAAATTTGTGTGTGATCTTTAAAAAAAAAATGCAGTTTCATCATTTTGTGGGGGGATAATTTGTGGGAAGTATTTGAAGTAATTTGCAGGTTACACTGAAGAAACGAAGGGGGGGGGGGGGAGAATATGATTTTAGATGCATATCAGTTCATCTTTTCTTTTGTAGAATATTACTTATTGAATTTGATTTTAACCACATGTTCTCCTTTTGGTTTGCTTTGTAACAGGGCTTCCAGCTTACACACTCCCTTGGTGGTGGTACCGGTTCCGGTATGGGAACCCTCCTCATCAGCAAGATCCGTGAAGAGTACCCAGACCGCATCATGAACACATTCAGTGTTGTGCCATCACCCAAAGTATCAGACACTGTTGTTGAGCCTTACAATGCCACACTCTCAGTTCATCAGCTGGTTGAGAACACAGATGAGACCTACTGCATTGACAATGAAGCCCTCTACGATATCTGCTTCCGTACCCTCAAGCTGACCACACCCACCTACGGAGATCTGAACCATCTGGTCTCTGCCACCATGAGTGGAGTCACCACCTGCCTGCGTTTCCCTGGCCAACTCAACGCTGATCTCCGCAAACTTGCCGTCAACATGGTTCCCTTCCCACGTCTTCATTTCTTCATGCCTGGCTTTGCTCCTCTCACCAGCCGTGGCAGCCAGCAATACCGTGCCTTGACCGTTCCAGAGCTCACCCAGCAGATGTTCGATGCCAAGAACATGATGGCTGCCTGTGATCCTCGTCATGGTCGCTACCTCACCGTTGCCGCCATCTTCCGTGGACGTATGTCCATGAAGGAGGTTGATGAGCAGATGCTCAACGTACAGAACAAGAACAGCAGCTACTTCGTTGAATGGATCCCCAACAACGTCAAGACCGCCGTCTGTGACATCCCACCACGTGGTCTGAAGATGTCTGCCACCTTCATCGGCAACAGCACCGCCATCCAGGAGCTTTTCAAGCGCATCTCTGAGCAGTTCACCGCTATGTTCAGGAGGAAGGCTTTCCTCCATTGGTACACTGGTGAGGGTATGGATGAGATGGAGTTCACAGAGGCTGAGAGCAACATGAATGATCTGGTGTCTGAGTACCAACAGTACCAGGATGCCACTGCTGAGGAGGAGGGAGAGTTCGACGAGGAGGAGGAAGGTGATGAGGAGGCTGCATAAATACAGGACAATTAGAAATGGACAGATATAGCTGCAATTCATCGAATGATTTTTATTCTGGTCTGGCACCACCAAAGATTTGAAACCCTTTGGGATGATAAACTAGTCTACCAAGTACCAAAGATATATTTATTCAAAATCCCACCGTCACTAAATACTCCAAATCGTTCATGTTGAATTTAACTTCAAGGTGTGCTCAATATTGTATATGTTGACAAAGTCGAATTCAAAACAAAATATTGTTGATCACAAATATTCCAGAACAAATGTTATCAAAATATACCAGTTTACAACTTACTACAATGTGTCTCTGTGTTATTGATTTCAAATATAAGGAGTTGTGATTGTGTAAATGGTTATGTGGTGCATTCCGTGATGATGGCAGGTTAACGGAATGGCAATTAAAAATCGATGCTGATTTAGTTAATTTATTCATAAGTAAACATGTATCAGTAATGTGATGCATGTATTTGATATATTAATCAAGATCGATTTTTAAAAGTATGAGAATAAAGATTGGCGATGAGAGGTGAGAGAGTGACCATTGGAGGATATCTAGATGAAATGTTAATTCTATCCATTGATTTGGCTTGAGTTTGAAATTAGAAAAGGTGATTGTTTGATGTGTAAATGTACTAGGTCCACGGTTGGAATGAGGCAATGTCAATAAGTGCCAAAATATATCTTTCTCTGAAATCATTTTTCATCGACTTCTCGCACTTGTCTTTTCTTTGCGATTCACCAAGTACCCCCATTAATTTTGTGTACACGGTTCTAAAATTTTATAAAACCGGGACAAGAAATAAAATTGATTTTCGTCATTAAACTCCCTTTCTTGTCTGTAAAAATATTCTGGAATTGCTTTCATTACTTTCTTTTCTGTTTCTTGGTTGATATGAAAAAGGTCAACTTAAAGCCCCTTTAAAGAGTAGGGACCCCAACAAATTTAGATGGCAAAATTTCACTTGAATTGTATCATGACGTGAATGAGGATATAGAGACATTTTTGCAGGCATTTTTAAAAAAGTGTGATTGAAGTCGAATATTGATGAAAGAATACAAAATTTAGGTTTTCTGTGTGCTACAGAAAACCAAAATTGTGTATTCGTTTTATCAATATTTGTCATCAAACACATTTTTTTTTGAGGGGCAGGGGGGAATCTTTGCAGAAGTGTTTCTTAAATGACATCCTCTTTCACATTATGACACAATTTAAGTAAAAGTTGGGAGAATTTTTAGGCCCCCAACTCTTGGAGGGGCTTTAAAACCCAAATAAAGATCCAGGATAAAGATACATTCGATTAAATGGGGCCGTGTAATCCTTTCAAGGGGGTCTTTTTTTTTTTAGGGCTCTTGCTATGACCTTCATACTGGGAGTGAAGGCATTCAAAACAATATAATGTTGTAAATAGGGTCCAGTAAGTCGAGTACGGGGGGGGGGGGGCGGGCATGGGTCACAGGTCCTCTGCAAACAAGGCCGGCCATATTTTGTTGGGTGTTAGAGGGGGGGGGGGGGGTAAGATGTCTTGATTTCATATTATATACCCTTCTCCCTCTCCTTTTTCATCCCCTCTCTTGACCTTCACTTCTCCCTCCCCGCTTCTCTCTCTCTCTCTCTCTCTCTCTCTCTCTCTCGGTCCTCTCGATATGCCCCTCCCTCTAATTCGCCTTTCGACTGGAGTCACACCGCTTATCGGAGGCATTTGCTTGGCAAAATACATTCTTATCCTTTTTTTTATATATTTTTTTTTAACCCCTTCCCACTTTTCTTATTTCTATTGTCCCTTATCTTTCCAACTCTTCTTCTTTCTTTCCCTTTTTCTCATTTCATTTCTTCTCCATTTTCTTTTTCTTTATGTTGTTGCTGAAAGACTAAAGGGCATCTTTGTATTTAACCCAAAAAATGCGGGGGCCCTCCCCCTCCCCCGGTCTGTCCTTGTTTACCACCCTGGTGGAATATCAAAACATGATCATTTGCTCTACCAATCTCAACATTGTTTATTTTTTTGGTATTTATTCTATTTATTGCCTCTGGATATTAAAGATTGAACAGGCCCTCACCGAGTCATTAATTTATTCGACGGTTATCTACGGGGGGGGGGGGGGGCTCCATTCCAGGTTATCATCTTTGACGATCATTGAATTGAATTAAATAGGCTTACAAAATAATGAAAAAAAATGAAATCATCATCATCATCATTACTGTTTTATAATATAATTGTTTGGCTTTGTTTATATAAATTCCTATCAAATAAGGTAGGGGGCGGGTCGGGATTTTGAAGGCCTCTTTCCTTCTGATCTATATTAAAACTAGTCAGCTCTTTCGAGCGACCCTGTTAACCATTGGAGGGGTTAATTATATAGTCCGTCTACTAAGTTAGCTCTTACTTTCAGACACTCGATTAAAGAAGAGGCGCAATTCGTTGCGTTGAGATAATTCCATGTTAAAACATTAAACAATTTCGAGCCAATTTTCTCAAAGTAACGTCACCATGACAACTATCCCTGGACAGGACTAGCCTCGGACCAGTCCTCTTTGGGATTTCACCATTGGTATGCAAATTTAAAGGGGCTGTCAAGCATAGTAGGCCTACGAGTGTGACATAGCAACGCGGACGCGTCCTGTAACTAAGCATTTTAAGGCGACCAACTTTCTTGAAGGGAGAATATAATTTTGATATCGAAAAATGTGAAGAACTAAAGTTTCAACATCAATTATAAATGTGATGATGAATCACGGACTAAAATGATAAATAAGATATAAAACAGTATAGTAAATGGAAACTTATTAACCAACAGGTACGCGTATACAGTATCCATCCCAAGCATTACAATAACATAGTTCCTTTACTTGACAACCAAGTGAGTGGTGCGTCCAGCGTGCCTGCCAGCCACTGTTACTATGGTGTCAAAATATACAACGCGCGTACTATATAAAGCGCACCTGTTGCTGAAACCACACTCTCATATTCTACAGCCAGGGAAACTAGGTGTAGCAAACTTGTCTTTATTTTCATTAATTAGAAACAAAACTAATCAAAGATGCGAGAAATTGTTCATATGCAGGCTGGCCAGTGCGGTAACCAGATCGGTGCCAAGGTAATTAATAACTGAGTTTCCTTTTTACTTTCTTTTTTTTACCGTTATTTACTTGCTAATTTTCATCGAAATCGAAGTGACATAGGCCTAGATCTAGGCTATTGCCATTGGCATTGGATTTGCGTGGAAGTGGAAGAGTCAGTGTGAAATGCAATGTCAGCGATGTTGTCTTGTCAAGTTTGATCATGTCTCAGAACAGTGAGACAATCAGAATACAAACCATCTTCTTCGACACTAGACGATCATGATAAGTGGATGAGAGTTTTACAGTAAATTATTGGCTAGACTCTGTTCAATTCTGTTAAATAAACGTCTTTATTAAAATGATTTGTCATGATTTGAACCAAATTCAACCTGATTATTAATTTGATGATTGATAGTGCAACAATTGGGGAGCATTCAATAATATACCCAAGGCAATCTTACAGACACAATGCAACATGATTGTCTAGAAATAAAATGATGATAGGCCTAGATCTAACATTTTAACAAATTCCTACTCTTTATCTTGACACAGTTCTGGGAAGTCATCTCAGATGAGCACGGTATCGACCCCACCGGTACCTACCACGGAGACTCTGATCTTCAGCTCGAGAGGATCAACGTCTACTACAATGAGGCCACCGGAGGCAAATATGTCCCACGTGCCGTCCTCGTCGATCTGGAGCCAGGTACCATGGATTCCGTCCGCTCTGGACCATTCGGACAGATCTTCAGACCAGACAACTTTGTCTTTGGACAGAGTGGAGCTGGAAACAACTGGGCCAAGGGTCATTACACAGAAGGTGCTGAGCTGGTAGACTCTGTTCTCGATGTTGTCCGCAAGGAAGCTGAGAGCTGTGATTGTCTTCAGGTAGGCAAGCTTCACATTTTTAAGGGCTTAGTTCTTGATTGTATTAAACAGATATCTGTGTGTGGTCTCTTAAAAAAAAGAAAAAGATGCAGCTTCATCATTTTGTTTGGGGGAAAAAGAATTAATTTGCAGGTTAAACTGAAGAAACAAGGGGGGGGGGGTAGATCGAGGGGAGGAAAATCTGATTTAAGATGCATATCAGTTCAACTTTTCTTTTGTAGATAAACTTTAATTTATTGAATTTGATTTTAACCACATGTATTGGTTTTCCTTATAACAGGGCTTCCAGCTTACACACTCCCTTGGTGGTGGTACCGGTTCCGGTATGGGAACCCTTCTCATCAGCAAGATCCGTGAGGAGTACCCAGACCGCATCATGAACACATTCAGCGTTGTGCCATCACCCAAAGTATCAGACACTGTTGTTGAGCCTTACAATGCCACACTCTCAGTCCATCAGCTGGTTGAGAACACAGACGAGACCTACTGCATTGACAATGAAGCCCTCTACGATATCTGCTTCCGTACCCTCAAGCTGACCACACCCACCTACGGAGATCTAAACCATCTGGTCTCTGCCACCATGAGTGGAGTCACCACCTGCCTGCGTTTCCCTGGCCAGCTCAACGCTGATCTCCGCAAACTTGCAGTCAACATGGTTCCCTTCCCACGTCTTCATTTCTTCATGCCTGGCTTTGCTCCTCTCACCAGCCGTGGCAGCCAGCAATACCGTGCCTTGACTGTTCCTGAGCTCACCCAGCAGATGTTCGATGCCAAGAACATGATGGCTGCCTGTGATCCTCGTCATGGACGCTACCTCACCGTTGCCGCCATCTTCCGTGGACGTATGTCCATGAAGGAGGTCGATGAGCAGATGCTCAACGTACAGAACAAGAACAGCAGCTACTTCGTCGAATGGATCCCCAACAACGTCAAGACTGCCGTCTGTGACATCCCACCACGTGGTCTGAAGATGTCTGCCACCTTCATCGGCAACAGCACCGCCATCCAGGAGCTCTTCAAGCGCATCTCTGAGCAGTTCACCGCTATGTTCAGGAGGAAGGCTTTCCTCCATTGGTACACTGGTGAGGGTATGGACGAGATGGAGTTCACAGAGGCTGAGAGCAACATGAATGATCTGGTGTCTGAGTACCAGCAGTACCAGGATGCCACCGCTGAGGAGGAGGGAGAGTTCGACGAGGAGGAGGAAGGTGATGAGGAGGCTGCATAAATCAACTGATCTGAAATTTCCCAACTGAACAAAAGACTCGACACAAACCCATATTTTTCAACATTCCGTCCTTATTTCCTATCCTTTGCATTGTCAATTCTGTAATATGTTTTGAAAAAGAAATTGCAACTGCCTTCCGGATCTACATTGTTTTATTTTAACTCTGCCAAGAACTGAGTTCAAATCGATCATGAATATTCAAGAATGAATTTATTAAAAAAGAATTAAAGCAATGTTATGTCATTTGACAGATTTGGATGTTTTTTTCATGTTAGAAGGAACAGAAGGAAACTATCATCACTGAAATTGTTTAGAAAAATTATTGAATAAATTTAATAGTACAAATATACTTTGATGGTTTTAGATTTTTCTGTGATATTCTTCTTTGTTTGATGTGACTATCAAGTGTGTTGAAGTTGTGATGATGTTGCATTGCCATGAACGTGCATGAGAATGTATCATTCACTACCCCCCCCCCCCCCCCTGAGTGAGGAGAAAAAAGTTTGCATGTAATTCACTGTAATTCAATTCAAATCTAATTGATTTCAATCCAAACAAATATGATTAATAATTTTGAAATTTGTTATCTAATGTGACCAAAAAAAGAAAAATGAGAATAATCATTAGACCTAATTCTCATTTTTCTTTTTTGGGTCACATTAGATAACGAATTTCAAAATTATATTTATTAAAATTCAGTGTATGAGTAAAGATGACAGGAACGAGAGACTGTGTTTCGATATGTTTAAGACTGTGTGAGTGGATATGAGTTTCTTGTCTGTGAGTCGTGACTCTTTTGTTCCCAAAGGCAAAGCCATTGTACATGTATATGCAGTCTGGTCAACTCTGACCATGGCCAAAGTTTCTATGTTTGGTAGATTTAAAATTGGGTAACAAAAAATCAATATAATAATACAGATAAAGTCCAAGGACAATTACCACCCTAAAAATATCTGCTTTTATCAAAAACAAGTTATTATCAGAATGGACTTCCCCTTTAATGAACAGAAGGGGGGTGGGGGTGAATTTCCTTGGGGGGGGGGGGGTGGTTGTCCTTGGGGGTAATTTTCAGGGGGGGGGGGTTCTAGAGGGTAATCGTTTTTCTTTCTTTCCCCTCTCGCTCTCTACTTCTATCTATCCCTCTCCCCCCCCCCCCCCCCTCCCCCTTTTTCAAAATAAAGGAAATTCAGATACAAAATAAAAAGTACATTGTACAGAGGGCGCTATACCAGTTCCAGCTCTTGAGAGTCATCAGAAGAGCATAATTATTGAGAGAGAGAAACTGAGTTACAGTAGTTTCCTGCATATAAGTTCACAATATGACTACGACTTCTCTTCACACTTCTCTCCATTCACCTCTCTTCTTCAATCTTTCTCATTTTCTCTGGCTCTCTTCCTCTGCTTTTCCTTATCCAACGAACCCCCCTTCCATTTAGCTCTCTTCCTTTCTTTAACCACCTCGATATCCATCATTTCTGCCCGTTTTCTTCACCTTCCCTCCATCCTCTCCCTCTTTCTTTCTATCTCTCTCTCTCTCGTTCTCTATCTCCCCCCCCCCCCCCCCCCCAAGCCCACTCTCTCTCTCTTTCACATTCTTTCTCTAAAAATAAAGGAAATAGAGATACAAAATAAAAAGAACGTTGTATGTAAAGTACAGAGGGCGCTATACCAGTTTCAGCTCTGAGCGTCATCAGAAGATCATATCAATTTATCATATTTGTCTTCATGCAAATTCACACAATATGTAACCATACGACTTCTCTCTCTTCTTCTTTTTCTTACCCATTGAGCCTCCTTTCCATTTTTGTACATTCTCTCTGCCCTCTTCCTCTCTTTAACCACCTAGATATACATCATTTCTGCCATTTTTTATATTCACCTTCCCTCCACACCCTTTCCCTTTCTTTCTGTCTCTCTCTCTTTCTCTGCCCCCTCCCCCTCTATCGTTATAACTGGTAACAAAGATTAATACGACCCAATTTTTGATCACCATGGAAATTTCATCTGCTTTCACCAGATGATTGAATTTACAGTCCAAAGATTTCAATTTCACTTGTTCTTTCACCCATTCTTTCTTTATTTCTCTTTTTTCATTGGCCTTATTTATTCAAAAAGTCCAAGGTATTTGATCATTTGGTGTCCCATTCCTTATCAAGTTTTGTGATGTTATTAACACAAGTTGACTTAAAAACAAAAGGATGATTTTAGTTCATGTTTGGTCGGATCCAAGCTCTACTCAGGCTTTCAAATCAATAAACATAAATTAAAACCTTAGATGTGGTCGGTACATATGGGATGAAATAGCTCGGACTCGCCAATATATTCTATGAACTGGGTGTGCTTTGACAACAAACAAATAAAAAGTGAAGAAAAAAAAGTCACAACAAATTTGTACCAGGTAAACCAAAGCATTTTAATTACATCATGGCAAACTGCAGGTTTCAATACACAAGATGTAGAATTTTGTAGAACTCTGAAATACTTTAATACATGAATTAAATCCTACATTTATATCTTGCTCAAAATGAATTGAACAATCATAGATTTCTAAAAATGGGTTCATTCTGTTATCTTCAAGCTGAATTTTTATCCTATCATGTAAATCCTCAGAAAAATGACATCATAGCATTCTGTTAGAATGAGGGTACAAAGCCAAAGATTTTATAATCTAGGGAATATTTTTAAGACACCACACTCACACTTCCTGTAATACAATACAAACAGTAATCTTGTAAAATTTCGTAGAGAGTGAAAACACTCAAGATTGTCCTATTATTATAAACATGTGAATAACATATTCGAAAGGACAAAATTGTTTGTGTAAAAAGAAAATTACAAATGGTTTCAAAAACAGCACAGACATTGACATGCAGACGAGATTTAGCACGCTAACTGTTTCACTGCATCTGGATTCTTCTGGAATAAAATGCAGAAAGCATGACTTCTCGTGCTCATTTTGTATACAATATCTCCATTTGCTGTTTTTCTTTTCTGATCCTTCTATCATTTTCTGATCCTTCTATCATGATGGACTGTAGATTTCCATATGATTCTTCATGTCTCTCAATATGATCAGATCCATTCCGTAGATAATAACATTGTCGTTGTGATGGGGTAGACTGGTTTCTGCATGTAGGGTCTGGGATAGGAATTCAGCTTGACGGTAGAAGATTGGGAGAATCACGAGAGTAAAGACATCATAGAGCGGCTTCTTCTGTACAGGGCAAAATGAAGATGGAGAGAAAATGTGGTCAAAGTCAAGATCAACAAGTCATTTATAAACCCGTTATAGTGTTACTTAGGCATTTAAACTGATTGCACGACACATGCTCTAAAGACACCTGCTGTGTGGTCAGTCTTTAACACTGCAAGCCTTGATCCTATATAATATCTAACCATACACCTACCGGTAATCTAAATGCCAATATCAACTAAAACGTAATCCTAAATCTTTAATTTAGACAAATTCTACAGAAAGATTGGTTATTAGCACACCTCAAGATCAGCTACTAAAAACTAATACATGTACAGTGTATGTCTCTAACATTGGTCAACAGAATATATTCTGGAATCATCAAAATGCTAGTAAAGTATAGGAAAACAATGAACAAAGTTAATATGAACACATATTTTTTACTGTTTTTGTAAAGAATTGAAAATTATGAAGTCATAGGATCCTTATACAAAGTACAAATCAGATGTTATTCATCCTACAATTTTGCAACCCTTGAAAAATTATCAAGTCTTCTTGAGTGTATCCCTGGAATATTTACTTTTTTTAAATTAAGAAAATCAAAAAAATTACAATTTACATGTACATCATATTAATCAAGAATCTTATATACCTTTTGTATTTCATAAGGCAAAACCTTCCACTGCACTTATACATAGCTCAAAGATACATACCGGTATGTAGAGATGTACAGTAAATTCAGTTAAAAACCAAATTATTCATACACCTTGTAGATTTATTGTTTTTTATGTTTTTTTTCGTAACTCGAGAATCAAATGTGGACTGGTTGAATTAAGGCTTTTGTTGAATAATTTTAGATAGGGACCAATCAATTTTTCACATACTTAAAGCCCCACCGCACCACTTGTAGCTACTTGCTCCCTCTATATAGAAAACAATGCCCAATCGGTGACCATTGGTCCACCGTGATCCTCTTTTTCTTATGTTAATTGAGAAATGAGTTGATGAGATAGCCACCTGTCAGTGACCACCCTGGGTGGTCTAATCCCTCCTAGCCAAACTAGTATAGACTGCCTTTAAAAAATTACTAAACTTGGTATTAAAGGGTATGAATAATATAGTTGTGAACTGTTACTGCATATCACTCACCACTTCACTGCTATAAGGACATTACAGTCATTGTACATTGTGGTTGAGTTCTTTTGGTAGAGAGGTGAATATTTAAAGATAAAGCGTGTTAGTGACTTACTCGAGACTGGTTTACCGGCTTCCCACTTTGTGGACTTAGCTGCAGACTCCTCAATCTTGAGAGCCTGTTCCCTCAGCTCTGGTCGCAATGCTCTCCTAACGAGCCTTGCGGCGATTGCAGAGTACTGGATGTACCTGGAACAAAGCAATTGAAAGAATCGATAAGTTTTGACTCTGATGTGTGAGACTAGAATTTGCATCTCAAATCTCAATCATCATCAACCCAGGACAACATCAGTGTAACATAAAAGGTCACCATAACAATGCATGGCCGACAAAGGAGGCTTAGCAAAAAGTTTTCAAAAAAGAGTTTGTTACAAAAGTGTCCTTATAAAAGTTAGAAGGTCCCGATGTAAGGAGGTTAAAGAAAATTTAAAAATGAATGAGAAAAGTTATGACTTCAATGATATGATATATAATGATGACCACTGATCAAATAATACATATCATCGTGGTTACATTACTTGCCACCTGTTTTGCAAATTGTTATCAGTCATCCATGGTTTACCTGTTTTCACATAGAATCAAATTTCCTCACACATGATTTACCTAACGCAAGTTATAAATAGAAAGGTATTCTTTAAAGGGAATGGGATATCTTCTAAAAAATAAATTTCTGCATAAAAACTCATCCAAAAAATAATGAATTGTCCGCATTTTCATGGACGATCCTTATTTCCGATTTGCGGATCAGTTAGGCTAGTGAGTTACCCTACACCCGCAGAGCGCCGAAGAAAAAAGGCATTTTTAGGTAGGAAAATTCATGCAAAAACATATATTAAAAAAATTGGCTTGAAAACACATCAGACAATTAGTCTGAACCGAGTCAGGAGCAAATTTGAAGAAATTATATTTTTAATTGTTGTACAACCAAAGATATAAGAAGAAAACTGACCAAGAATTCGTAC